GTGATTAATCTAATGACGAATCACAATCTTTCTCTCTTTAGGTTTTCTTGTTTGGCTCAAATGCATACTTAATCAAAGACTCTTTGATGGAAAGTAGCTCAGGGAACTCTTTCTTGAGCTTAGAAGCATCCATTTCATTGTTGCTTCTTGGAGCCACAATGACTTTAGCTTGCTCTTCTAATGTGAAGTTTGCCCATTTGAATTCAGGGTTGATGTAATCTCTGTACATCTCCAGGATCTCGTTGTGACTCACAACACCGGGGTTTGTGAAGTTCCAGATTCCTTTCAAGTTTCTCTTCGCCATCTCGATGGAGATTGGTAAAAGCTCGTCCAACACAGTCATACTGTTTGGGATGTTCACTACTTTGTTGTACCTAGAGATCTTTGTGATGAAGTTGCGCGGGTTGTTTAGATCCGAGGATATCGGCATCCTTACCCTCAAAGTGCATACGTTGTCAAACTCCTTTAGCAGCTCCTCGACCTGTAGACACATTCATAACAAGGAATTAGCATACGTAAGAAGGAGAAAACGTTAGAGATAAGAGCGTTCGATCTTTGACAGAGCAAGAATTAGATACCATGGCTTTAGTTTTTGAGTAGAAAGAGCCAGTGAAGTTGGGAGTGTCTTCCTCTTTGAAGCCAATTCCTGAACCTTCCGGATGCTTGTCATCATATTCGAATATACAACCAGTAGCGAAATTCATCATCAGTAATCCGTGCTCTCTGCAGACATCAGCTAGTGTCAATGTGCCAGCTACATTGGCGCGGATAGTCTCTGTCTTGTGAGACTCACACCAGTCAACATTGGGTCTCCCGGTCACACCAGCGGAGTTGAAAACATGAGTCGGCTTAACGCTCAAAATATCCTGCAAAAGTGATGATCGATCCTCCAACCGTCCTTTCCCATACTCGTAAACAATTCCTTGCTTCTCACATAACTTTCCAAGGAGACCACCGATCCATCCGGTCTTTCCATATATCAAGAACTTCAGCGAAGGCTTTTGCGGTGAGCTGCTACTCCTTGGGCTTGGAACCACCATATGGTTCTGACTAGGTTTCTCAGATAAAGTCGCTGCCAAAGAATTATCCTCGGTTCCATCAAAATGTCGCCCACCAGGCATCATCAGCATCCTTGGATGAGGAAGCAATGCTCCAGAAACATCACCCCACCACTCGGGGTTCTGCGTATACCATTCCATAGTTTTCTTCAACCCTTCTTCCCAAGTAGTCCTCTCTGACCATCCCAACTTTTTGAGCTTCTGATCGTCAAGAAAGTACCTCTGATCGTTAAAAGGTCTGTTCTCGACAAACTTGATGTTCGCCTCAGGATCCATGTTGAAGAGTTTGCAAATGTCTCTAGCAACATCATTCACTCTCCTTTCCTTCTTAGTCCCAATATTGTAAACATGACCAACTTCTCCCTTGTGAAGAATAACTTCAAACGCCTCAGCAACATCTTCACAGTATAGATAACTCCTGACATTCGAGCCATCTCCATGAATCGGAAGAACTTTCCCTCTCATGGCCAACAAGATAAACTTAGGAATCAACTTCTCAGGAAACTGATTCGGTCCATAAACGTTATTACCACGCGTGGTAATAACAGGTAAACCGTATGATCTACCATAAGCCATAACAAGCATCTCAGCACCAGCTTTCGTTGCAGAGTAAGGATTCGTTGGAAGAAGCTGAGAAGCCTCATGGTTACCGACAAGCGCATCCTCATCGGTTTCGCCATATACTTCATCAGTACTCACATGAATAAACCTCCTTATCTGACCGGTAACTTTACAAGCTTCAAGAAGTACATGAGTACCATAGATATTGTTCTTAGTAAACTCGAAACTGTTACCGAACGAATTGTCGACGTGCGTCTGCGCAGCGAAATGCATAATCGTGTCGATACCTTCAGTGATGAGCAAATGATTCACCAAGTCAGCACTAGCGATGTCTCCTTTGACAAACTTGAAGTTTGGTGATTGTTTAGAAGGATTGAGATTCTTGAGATTTGAACAGTAATCGAGTTTGTCAAGGACAACGATTTTGTAATCAGGATAGCTTCGTATGAGCCTGTTTGCGACATGGGAAGCAATGAAACCAGCAGCTCCGGTTATCAGAATGTTCTTGGGAGTGTACGAAGCCATTGAAACCTGCGTTTTTTTAATTCGAATCACATTAACGAAATTTGCATGTGGAGAAATTCGAATCAAATGATGAAAAGTTTACTACTTTCGACGAAAATCAGAGTACCCAGAAACGGATTTTCATAGAGATGATCAAATCAGAGTAGATCTAACGAAATGAAACATAAACGCATTTAGAACATTAAAGCTAGCTACTTTAGATCTAAATCAGAGTGTGGGAGGAAAAAAACCCGAAAAGCTCGATTTTTGTAACTACGGAGAGAGAAATTTCCATCGGATCAAAGCAAAGTAAGCAATAATAAACAAAAACCAGTGAGAAAATCATTTACGATCATTAAGAATTCCTGATAATCGAATGCGAGAAGAGAGAGAGAGCAGGATTTTCTGGAACATACCTCTGTTTTGCTTTCAGATCTTCACGATCAAAACACAATCGTAGATCGGAAGAGAATTGGAGAAGACAAAAGAGAAAAAAATGTTGAATAATCTGAGGAGAAGCGAAAGTAACGGAGAAGAATCAAAATTTCCCGACAGAGCAAAAATAGA